ACCAATATTGATTCAAAAGAAAGTTCATTTATTGAGAATAAGTGTACAGATCCAAAGCATTACTAAGACTGATCAAAAGTGCGCCAAAAGCTGCTTTTCTTACTCCCCCCCCCCACATTGCCCTTAGTTCTTGATCCTCTGATTCTCTTGCTGGTATGACCTTGAGCATGCCAGAGCTTGTGATAAGGAGCCATCTGCTTTTTAACGGTTTCTCATCCTACTTCCCCCCCCCCCCCACATTGCCCTTAGTTCTTGATCCTCTGATTCTCTTGCTGGTATGACCTTGAGCATGCCAGAGCTTGTGATAAGGAGCCATCTGCTTTTTAACGGTTTCTCATCCCTACTCCCCCCCCCCCTTTTACAATGGCAGAACCGCAGCATGTAAAAAACCATTTTTTTTTCTTTTTTAAACTAGCCGTCTAATAATCTATTATAAAATCTTGCGAGGATTCTGACAACTTCAATCTTAGGGGACTCAAGTGGAGCAACAGCAATGCAGTTAGTGCAGAATAATACAGTAAAATGTAATAAAAATTTATGAATCACCTTATAATGATACAGATAATAACAATCATATCTGCTGGATATGATTTTTTACAAATGTCCAGAATGTCATGAAAGTGGGCGTCACCCTTGCTTTGAGGGCAAACAATTCCAGAAAAAGGGAGCCCTCACAGAGAATACCCCTTCCTTCCTTCCTTCCTTCCTTCCTTCCTTCCTTCCTTCCTTCCTTCCTTCCCCTCAGTAGGCATTTTCTATTCACTGAGTCAGGGTGGGGAGACATTGTCTGGGATAAGAAGTCTTGTAGATAATCAAGCTGTGAGCCATGTAGGGCTTTATAGGTGATAACTGGCACCCAGTAGTGCATCAAAAACATACCAACAACCAGTGCAGCTCCCACAGCAGAGGATATCCAAGAACAAGACTACCCAGTAAGGACACAGGCTACTGCATTTTGCACCAGCTGAAGTTTCCAGTGGTTTTCAAGGGCATCTTCATGTAAAGGGAATACAGGAAATGAAAAGGGCACAAGTGACCAACTTCAATGCCTTCTGTGCTAGATAAGATCACAAATGGCACATCAGCTAAAGCTGTGAAGCCCTCCAGGCCACGGCCTCCACCTGCTCTTCTGGCATGAGCCATGAGTACAGGAGGACTTCCTATTGCAAGCCTGCTCTCCAGGGCAGCATCTCTCCACTTCTTCCAGAGTTATTTGTATTTTGACCCCACCATTTTCTCTTCAATCTTCCCCACAAAGGAGTGGTTAGATATAGGTAGATTGGTAGATGTCTAGGAACAGTGGATTCAATGTGGATCTCTTAAGGAGGAGTGAATTAATGCTTCTCTCAAGACCACCAGGATTTCCCCCCTCACAAAAAGACACTGACTAAACAGTGGATCTACCTCCTCCCCCCCCCCAAAGTTAACCTGTCAGAAGGGGCATGTCAAATATACCAGTGGTGGAGCTAAGATCATAAAGAACCCTGTCCACATCCTTGGGATCACAAGGTCAAAAATCTGCCAGGTAATATCACAAGATGCTGCTTTTGTCATCTCACTTTGCCACCCTGATCACCACAGAATAAGCTTGAATTTGAGTTTCTACTTATGTCCAGATGTACTTGCTTACCCTCTGCCAGGGTGGCTGTAAGCATCTCTTCACCCACTTCATTTCCTGGAGCTCCTTGGAGAATCAAGGAGTAACCCAAGATCAGCAGGTTCCAAGGGGTCACTCAGGAGCAATTCTATCTAGTACTCTATTCAGTTCTGTATTTTATAGGCTAACAAGAAGTTCAACAAAATTGCCCTCCAGGTCACTGGGAAAGTCCCCAAGTGGGTATCTGGAAACCTTCTGGATCCATTAAGCCACTGGGGCTGGCCATCTGAATCAGACCATCCCTCTACAAAGGTTAGTCCAATGGCCACTTGATCATTTGATTTATTGGGGCATTTGACTTCTGCCCCAGCGTCCTGCCCTGAAGGCACTATGGTAGGTGAGATAATTGTACAACATACTGTAGCATTATATTAATCCCACAAGGTAAGGTTGAAAAAAAAATTCATCTGCCACCATTATCAGTCACAGCAAATCAAAGGCGTGCGCACACACACACACACCATTTTAAAGGAAAATTAGGGAGAAAAAACCTTCACCTTCCCTTAAAATAAATGTAGTCATGAGATCATATCAGGCATGACAAATGTCTTCCCCCATAGAAGTCGTTTTGAAGGTTTTAATGTTCAGAAACATCACAAATGTAATAATTCTTCAGAAATAGAGCTGATATTGGAAGGAAGGAGAAGACCAGCAGCAAGGTGGCTGGACTCAGTTACAGTGACGACGAGTGCACCGTTGCAAGACCTAAAGGACCAGGTTAGCAATAGATCATCATGGAGAAAATCCACGTATGTGGTTGCTAAGAGTCAACACTGACTTGATGGCACCTAATCAATAGCGCTGAGATATGAGCTTTTAAATCTATTTAAAGACATGGGATTTGCACTGTGCAATTCTACAGCAGAACAGGCTTTAAGGCCCTGAAGAATGACTTCTTCTCTTACGCTTTAGGAGAAGGGGGAAGGCTGCTCCACCACCGTCTTCCCCGTGGTCTCCTCACAAATACTGTGGGAAGGAGCACAACCATCCCGACCGCACAGCCGCGACTCAGCATACTGAAAGCAGCCAGCAGCCAGCAGCCAGCCGCGCCGCGCCGCGCCGCGCCGGGAAGTGAAGGGCGGGACCAGGGCAGCGGCCGTCCGCCCCCATCTCCCAGAGTGGGACGGCCCTCGGCCCCGCCCCAGAAAGCAGCTCGGGTGGTTGGCTCTTCCTTCTCGGGCCTGCCCTGCCTTGCCTTCCCCTTTTGCGTTCTCCCAGCGGGGTCTTTGAGACGTGCGCCTCCTCCGCGGGCCATGGAAGTCGGAAGGCAGGCACGCGGGCCGCCGAGCGAAAGCCAGGCTGCGGCGAGGATGAGCGGGAGGTGCGGGCGGTTGAAGCCCGTGTCAGAACCGTTAGCCGTCTACTCGATGGTTCTGCTGATGTTGGCGGCCACGATGTCCGAGGAGGCGGGGACCGCCGAGGCTGCCCAGAGCTACGGCTACGGCGACGAGAAGTGCCACTACTATGCCGGAGGCGAGGTGTACCCCGGCGAGGCATCGCGGGTGCCCGTCAAAGACCACTCGCTGCACCTCAGCAAGGCCAAGAGTAGGTGCCCGAAAGGGCCGCCGCGCCCTACGGCTGGGAGAGGGGAACGGGGAGAGGCGGAGCTGCCGGAGCCAGCCTTCGCCTGTCTTTTCAGCCCTGGAGTGAGGGAAAGAACCGAAGCCGTCTTATCCCCATCGCCTTAGCTTTACCCTTCCTCGTTGCTGACTAGGCTTCTTGTCGCTGTTACCGTCGGGTCCGAAGCCGTCCTAATTGCAGGGCCATCCTTCTCACACAGCGCCCAGGCTATTCGCCTGTAGGAGCATTTCGTCTTCCTCAGCCTGGGCCCAAAAGTGGATTGCGCTTCGGGTGGGAGGCCCTGGGAATGGAAGTCCGACACATCTGGAGGGCCCCAGGTGGTGAAGGCTGATGTATTGCATGGTAGCACAAAGGGAGGCCCTTGGTGGATCTTTTAAAAGATATATATTGTGATGCTAGCGTTCCTTCAGGAAAAGTTGCCACAGCAAATCTCTTTTCTTACTCACTTGTCATATATCACATCTTATAAACGACAGTGTGGAGCTAATAAAAAGGCTTCCTTCAAAAACTCCAGTTAGGATTTAAATGTGAAACTTTCCCCCCAACCACTATGAGCATAGTAGAAATGGCTTAAATTGAACAGAAATCACAAATATGTTGTTCCAAATATCTGCTAAACATAACTTCAGGCAGAGGACACGTCACACAAACCTATTGGTGTAATGTACCATACAAAGAAGCAGGAGAATCACAGTCACTCTTTTAAAGACTCTTGTTTGGGGCACAGTTCTGAAATGGTAGAAAAATATTACTATGCTTTATATGTTTCTAGAAATTCCTTCTGTCTCTTGGGAAATTCCAAGAATGAGTTATACTGGCAGTTTATAAAAATTAAGTAACTTACAAATAGCAGGACACACAAAAACCGCTATTCTTCCATTCCCAAATATGCCCATTTTACTTTTTTTTTATGTTTGATACAAAAATTATATGCACAATTCTGCTACCCTATATCCTCATTTCTTGGGTGCATCTATCATTAGATTATAGGCAAATGGTTTAGACTGCTATTTTTACAGATTAATTTTTATAATTAATCCATTACAGAGTTCTTCAAAACTAATTTTTAAAATATCAGACATTTTAACATACATGCTGCATATTCTGTTACAGGCATGTTCCAATAACATGTTCAGTTGTCTTTTTAAGTTGTAGTCTTGTATACTGATCTGAGAGTATACAGGTCAGTATAAAAGAATTCTGAGTAGATATCTATAGAATTGCTCAGTTAAGAATTTAATTTTTCTTTTCTAACCTGTTGTTTCAATCCATATTTGTACGACCTCAATCTGAATTTAGTTTCAGTGGCATTATATACTCTGATCTATGGAATTTTGCATACTTTTGTGTGCATACAGATTATATATAAAATATAAATCTAATTTATATATACGTACAAATAACTAAATATACAGTACACTGATGTGAAACATATTTTGCAGAAATTTGCGTTAGCATATTTCATTACTGTTAACATAAGTATTTAGCTTTTTTTGTAGTATACAATGTGCTGTCAACATAATCCATTTCTTCTCATTGCCATACTACAGAGCTAATATTTTGTTATTTTATTTTAGACTTTACATGTTGCCAGCTATTGACTCTCAGTGCTTTATAATAAATGTCTGTAATATTTTTAATAGGCAGCTACTTTTGCATAGCCTAACCTTTACTGTGTTATTTTTAAAAATTTAAATATAATTGATTTAAAAATAATTTGTTTAACTTTATTTTATACATTTTAAAGAATGCCTCATAGAGCAAAGTTTAGCCACAGTTTCCTAGCAATAAAAGTACTAATTCAATACTTCAATATTTGGGTTGGCATTTCTACACATATCTCTTTAAAAAATATGATAATTCACTGATTTATTTTTACTAGTTTAACAATTACTAAAACTTTGTATGTTGCTGTGGTAAATAATAAAAGCAAACGTTAAAATAAATGTTTAATAATTTGACTACTTCTAAATATTCAGTTTTTGAAACAAAATTATATTTTTCTTCATCTACTAAAATGAAAATATTATCCATTCATTCACTTTGTGTGACAACCACTACTTAGTGTCAAAATGTTGATTTTTTTAAATGTTTAAGTCTTTTTCTTGTTTTGTTGTTTGTTTTAGTTTCTAAAACAGCACCTGACTGGGAAGGAACAGCTGTCATCAATGGAGAGTTTAAAGAGCTGAAGTTAACAGATTATGAAGGAAAATATGTTGTTTTCTTCTTTTATCCTCTTGATTTGTAAGCAAATCTGTTAGTACATAGGTGTTTTCACATTATCATGTTTGTAGAGCAAAAAGGTTTTAATAGATATTTCCATGTGTAGACAAAAAAATCATAGCTGAAAGGAATGGAGATTTTTTTCCCCATGCTGAAAACTTTAAAATGGGAGAAGGGGTATACAAAAAATTTCCAGCTTTGAAGACTTTATTTTATTATAGTTGGCTATCTTAAGCACAGTTGATAATAAATGTAAGGTATACATTTGTGATACAAATTTTAAATATGCACACATATTTTAGTTATTCTTGCAACTGCAAAAGTGCAGAGAGAATATATGTTTACTAAATTAAACTGAAAAAGTTGAAATTTATTTGTGCTACTGAATTAGTGTTTATTAATAACTATGTTAATGTCATAAAATACATAGTTATTCTGGCACTGTAAGGATATTGCACATATATAGCACTTCTGAAACGTTCAGAATAGGATATTAGGTACCCAATATAAGGAGGTTACAGTTGAAGAAAACTTTCTTAAATATTGTGGAGGAAAGCTATTCATCCTTGTGTTAATAATATAGTGTTTAAAATAATATAGTATTTAAACTATTCTTTTAGATTTTAAAATATCTAATTTTAATCTCTCTTTAGCACATTTGTGTGTCCAACGGAAATAATAGCATTTAGTGACAGAATTGAAGAATTCAGAGCAATTGATGCTGAAGTGGTGGCTTGCTCAGTAGACTCACAGTTCACTCATCTAGCATGGTATGTTCTTCTTTTCCCTTTCTTTTTACTTACACAAATTAGTGCTAGTGAACCATTCAGTTTTATGGCCCTGTGAAATTCAAATAAATGTGATCCCTGAAAATTTTAGAAAAAAATGAAGTGCTTTAATTTATAATCTTTATGCCATAAATTTCAAATTTGTCTGAATGAATTGCATGTATGAGTCACTACAATAACATTCTTTACGAGCCATCTCAACAATGTTGAGAACACAAGGCTGCCTTACTCTTCCATTAAGAATTTTTTCCTTTAACTTTATGCAGTGGAGCTGAATCCTCATTTTTGTAATTAAATATGCTTTGGGAACATGTTTGTTGATACCAATTAACTGTGCAAGATTAGTGTAAAGTATTTGGTGACTTTTTATTGTAATAGGATAAATACACCTCGAAAACAAGGAGGACTTGGACCAGTGAAGATACCTCTTCTTTCTGATTTGACACACCAGATTTCAAAGGATTATGGAGTTTATCTAGAAGACCAAGGACATGCTCTTCGGTACAACATTAACTATTCTGGTTTTTTTTTTTCATGTTGCAGCAGTGACAAGAGAAATATGGAATGATTCTTAACTTTTTAAATCAAACATTTGTTATTATATCCAATAGAAATATGTTGTTTGAAACAAAAAATTAGGCAAGTTGTCTAATACAATGGTGCAACCCTTAAATATGAGGTTAATAATTACTAAAATTGTTTTATCTATGTTTTGATCTATGAATTCAAATAATGGTGAAATTAAACATAGTATTAAGCATTTAGAGGATCTTTCATTATTTTGTTTTAGGTATATAGTATCAGTAAGGGTGCAGCAGATACATCTTTCAATATTTGCAAAAAATGAAGGCATTCATATTTTTCTTGTTCATTTTTTCTCATCTTTTCACAGAGGTCTGTTCATTATTGATGACAAGAAAATTCTTCGACAAATAACAATGAATGATCTTCCTGTTGGCAGATCTGTGGATGAAACCCTTCGTCTAGTACAAGCATTCCAATATACCGACAAACATGGAGAAGGTATTGCTACTCTTAGTTGTTTTGGTAGTGATAATAATTAAATACAGAGTTATAACCCTTGGAATATGGTTCATTATTCACTCAAAATTCCCAAGCTAGAATAATCCTGAAATTGTAGTATATTTCTCCTATATATTAGTCACTATACAAATAAGAGAAGCAGTGGAAGCTCCCTTTCTTCACATCATTTGTTCAGATAAAAAGTCAAGCTCAGATTTATAGGTCTGTAATAGCCAGAACTAAGCCATTAAACTCTGCTGTCCTAACCAGATGGACATTGCCATGGATGGTGTTCAACTGATATCAAATCTGTAATGTGCTCACCTTCTCACTTCTTCCTCATGATTATTCATATCATTTGATCAGCAAAATGGCTAAGTAACTTTAATTTGATCTTTCTGATCTATGTTACCTGAGAATCTGGGGTACTTTGCTTTTACTGATTGATTAATCAATCAATCAATCAATTGATTAAGATTAATAGGTTGCAAAGTGCTGTGAATATACTTCTTTCATTGTCAGAAGTGCACTTTCTGCTTGCAAAAAATGTTACTAATATTCAAACAACATGTTTCTTTGTGTGTTAAAGTTAAAAATGTACTAGAAACAATTATATTGGTTTAAGAATTACATAATGAGATGTGCAGAAGCCAACCTTGAATTTGGTTAAACATTTACCTGGTTAGAAAACAGGATTATTTATTTATTTATATTTATATTTTTATACACACACACACCGAGCAAAAATTAGACTGTTTCATATGTCTTATGTTACTTACGTCACTCTTAAACAATTTTATCAAGAAATAAATTATTTGGTGCTGAACTAATGCCTATATCTTAGCAAATATGTTCCAGGTACAAAAGGTAGCTGAAAAATTCTCAGGCTGTGTCTAGGTATTTAGGATTAGGACATCCCAGTCAAATTTTTACTTCCAGAAAACTTTTTTTTTATCTTCACAGTAGGTATTTGGCTGCAGTAGTCTACAGAACAAGAACAGAAAGGCAGGTTTGTTAATTTTTAACCAACATATTAACATCTCTCTTCATTACTTTCCCAGTTTGTCCTGCTGGCTGGAAACCAGGCAGTGAAACAGTAAGTTGGTGTTCTTTAAGCACTATCATTTGAAAAATACCTATTACACACTCAGTCTGAGAGAAAATGTCACATGGAGAAATGTCACCCACATGCCAAAAGTAGTGTGCTAGCAATTTTAGTGCCACTTAACTAACTAGTTTTCTGCCCTGCATGAAAATGAAAGTTTCTTGCAATATCACTGTGACATTTCATATACTTTTAAGTACAACTCATTACCCTGCCACCTTGTTTGGAATAGTGGCATTTAGGCCTATGTCAGACCTGAGCTGCTAATTATTTACATCTATTCAAATGCTAAATTTTCTTTCAAGTATTCCTGAAGCATGTATCATTAATTCCTTCACCACATGCAAATGTTATAATATCAATAAATTATTGCAGTTTACAGTTCAGTCAATCAAGACAGAAATTCACACTGAGCAAACCATTCTGTTTTTGCATACTTTGGGAAAATCTATTTCAAAAGCAAGTGTGCATCTTAGATAAATATTTTCTTAAGAGCTGGCATTATAGGTTGATAAATTAGTATTCAAACTTTTCTCTAGAATTCTACAGCACCAATAGAAAATGATGGTTCAAGTTAGATGTAGATTGTGAAAACATCTGAGCCCGTATGTTTCAGCCATTTTTTCTGCCAGTATAGCCTGGCTACTTCCAACCTAAAAAATCACACTGTAATTTCTTATTTTTATGAAACAACTCCTTAATTGGCATGGCTACAATACTGCAGAGAGTTTTAAACACATTGTAAGTATACTTGCAGATACTTGTAGTTAGGCTAGATGGGACTAAATAAAGACAAAGAACTGAAAAAGCTATTAAACAATTTCTAACTAGGGGGCTTGTATTTTTTTAAAGTAAAGAAGAATTTATGTAAGATCAACAGAATATAGAGTATTACTATGTTGATATCTATAGCCATAACTTTTGTTTTTAAATCAATTATTTAAATCAAATATGAAGATTCTCTAAAACGTGGTGATGAGGAAAACAGCTGCAAATACATTCCCTAAATATTTACTGTAAGACAATCATTTTAAGCTATAAATTAATAATACAGCTTTTCATAACCACAAGCCTTGCATGGGTGCATATACATAAAGACCTTTTGATAGTAATACTTATTTTTTCTTTTATAGATAATTCCAGATCCCGCAGGAAAGTTGAAGTATTTTGGTAAAGTGAACTGACTGCTTTCTTTTAAGCATACAACTTACAACTAAAAAGTTACAAATAAAGTTCCATTAATTTTGTTAATTGCCTCTGGATTTGTTGTTCTGATAAAGATGCATGTGTGTATTTTAAGCTGGAGGGATAATATTGAAATAGTGAAGTATTATGAACTGCTATACTAAATTATTTCTACTTAATTAAAAGCCATGTGCAGGTATCCACACCTTGATAACCCAAAGTTGAATCCAAGAGATTATCCAATTGAAATAAACTACAAAATAAATCCCAGCAGCCCTATTCAGGAATTCAATCATGGTGCTTCCGTTAATTCCTCTCAACTTATGCAGACTCTGAATAATTCCCCTTGACAATATACATGTAGTCCCCAGATGAAGTACGCCTGGGTTACAGCCATAGTTAAGAATGGAGTCTATTGTAGCAAAATCCGAGTTAAATAACAATTATTTGAGTTAAACACACAATGGTTTGAGTTCATTACACAATGCTACTTATACAATAATACTGTTATATACAATATTGTACAATAATACTGTTCCAGCTTACATATAAATTCGACTTAAGGACAGACCTTGGGAACAGACCATATTCTTAAACTGGGAACTACCTGTAGTATAATGACATTGGCTGCTACAAAGTGTCATATACTGAGTGCAAGTATCTACAGCAGTAAAGTCTTCACAAGCATAGCTATCCTGGCTAATGGAAAAGCCAATGCAATTTTGTTGTTGCAAACATCTGCAATCCACACTCGTGTCTACAACATCCCATGTAATTAGAGCAACATTAGTGGTAGGAAAGGCTTATCAGGAGCACTCATGTATTGGGCAATCCAGAATGCTACTGTAGATTCAGATACTTTTTCAGAAGTCTTGAGTGTACTTGTATATTCAGTTTAATGTACAGGGAAAATACATTTATGAAATAATTTAGTCTTACCACTCCAACAATATTTCCAGGCTTGCCAGTCCAATAAAGCTTTTCAATTTTACTTGAAGAGCTATTCCCAAATTTAATAGAATGTTAGTACATTTTTTAAAGCTGCAGACGGACTATGGCATATTTAATTATTTGAACTTTCACTATTCTATAATTGGTGCTTTTAATTGAAAACGAATTTTTATTCTTGGTTTGGGGGGTTTTGTTGGTTTTACTGTTTTGTATACCACGCAGGGTTGCTATTTACAATATGGGCTCCTATATAATCTTTTAAAGTAAATAAATAAAATTTGAAGACAGCGATTATGACCTTGAAATATGACTTAAAGTAATTTGAAGTCATTTAAGGCTCTCATTGTTTTGAGAAATTTGAAAACTTTTAAGGCAGCTGTGAGCAGAAAGTAAGTGTTCAGTCAGAAACCACATACATCTGATAGATTATTTAGGTGCCTCTTGCTAGCTTGAGGTCTTGCAGAGACTGTAGAACAGAGCTGTTTCCAAATGGTTTTGTTCCAAACTGGGCAATGTCAAATTTAATTTCAATCAGTTAATAAGGATCATGATTATGCTTCAGGTTTCCAGCAGGGGGAGTTGCTCTCTTGGTTCAGAGAATGTAACAGCTGAGCTAAATATCCCAAACAATAAATTTTCAAATGCAATTAGCATTAATAAAATGAAATTAATTCAATTACAGGATAAAAATTGAGGTGGGTGGAAAATCCTCTTCTCAGCAAAGGTGATTCTGATTGATCCATTATTATAAAGAGACAGAATATTCACTAGTAGTATTCCAATGTGCAAAATCACTTTTATTTTCCCAACTGCAACTTCCAAAAGCAAGCTTTAAGTAGAGAGAAAGTCCTGATTAAATAACTTGTAATAAAAGCAAAAATCTAAGAAATACCAAGAGTGGGGTATTGCAAGGAAATGCTTCTAAAGAAATTATTCCTATGACCAAGTAGGTCAGTGAACCTGAAGGAGCAGTAATTTCCTGTGAATAATAAATCACAATATAGCTTACCCAAATGTACCTGTTTGCAGTAGAATTGGAGGCTCTTTACTTATGATCAGTTCTGTCTCTGTCATTTTTACTTAGGTGTAATGTTATGATCCCAGCTACAAAAAAGCTATCCCAACTAAAGCAGTCTTGAAGAGATTTTGGAAAAAATGCAGTGGATCCCATATAGTAGATGCTTCCACTTGATATGCCACATGCTTATCAAAATCTTCAGAGTGGCTTACAAAAGAGAACTGACACTTGAAAAGTAGTTCCATAGTTGTGGCCAACCTTATTTTGAACTTAGCGTAAATACTTTGTATGACTGTGCAATCAGGGAGCATTTTTCAGTGATCGTAAAAGCCAGCCAAAATAAAAACACAGAATATGGTTTCTAAATTATATGAATTCCTAGCTATCTATATCTTTAAATATAACTATTTATAGTTGTATGTTAACTATAAAGCTAACATCTTGGACCTTCTCATAACAGACAGTTGTGAGTCTACCATTGATCTATGTATTACGATCTCATTTAGTCAAGAAATGGATCATTACATTCTGCATTAATTGGAGCTTTCAACTCATGAAGGAGACACAATATTATACTGTAGTAAACTAATCCTGAGGATATGGCATAGATCGATCAGTATGTTTGATTCAGACAGACTATTACAGTCCTACTAAACATGTTTAGTTTTTAGATAAAAATCAGAATCCTTTCTAAAATTATTCAAGGAAACGTGCAAAGCTAAAAAGCAGAATTAACAAACATCTTTGTCTCACTTGGAGTTAGCTTTAAGCAGTTCATTTATACTAAGCATTCTACTAATGGCAAGAGAACTACCTTGGTGCAGAAGAGAGTAAAAATTGTGAACATAGAGGGCTGTTTGTATGGGAACATGGAAACACAAAAGGTTTCAAAATGAAATGCAAAATAGCACTCAAGTCTGCTGCAATATTGTTCAAGTGAAAAGCTGAAGTAAATGGGGTCTGCCCCTATTTAATCCTGTTTAAGTAACTGCAATTCAAATACCTGCTTAAAGTTTTATTGGATAATAGAGTTTCATTTTAGTCAATGATAGTAGGAGATATAAAGAGATAATTTAAGAACATGGAAAGTATCAATAACTCAGAAGTTCAAAGTCCATATCTCCTCATATACTACAAACACTACTATATATCAATGGAGGTGAATATGTGTAGCTCAGGGTTGAACTGTGGAGTCCTTGGGGTTCTCTGAGCTTGGTTCTTTTCTTACAAACATTTCATTACCTGGCTAGGTAACATCTTCAGTGCTAAAATGGGATCAGGTTTACTCTCTATCTGCTGTGGCCTGCTTTGCCAGG